CGGCTGGGTAGGGGTTGCCGTGCCATGGCTGCCCTGAGCTGACAGGTGGCTCTGCCCTGGGGCTGTCCCCAGCATCAACCCCCCCCAACCAGCCCCTTTCTGCTGACTGACACCCACCTCTCCCAGCCCCATCTGGGGTCTCATCTCCCGATAGCATCATAGCCCCTGGGGGCTCTGTGCTGCCCATGAACCTGCCGCCATCCTGCACGCTCTTGCCATGACTGGGGCGCTTCACAGCGAGTGCCACCGCCACCAGGGGCCCTGCCAGACTCTGGGACCACCGCCCCAAGAGGGCTGCCCCCCTCCTGCTGGTGACCACCAGGAGAGGCCGGCCGGCGGGCGCCTGCCCAGGCAGCCGTGCCTGCACTGGGACACACACCCGCTGCTCTGGATCTGGACTCTGAACACTTGGTCCTGCTGGCTCCCCGTGGCCATCGTCGGACTGCGGCTGATGCCGTGACCGCTGCCCATCCTGACCCTGCCTGGCTTGGCCTCAGCCCCACCTTGGCACTGATGGACACACCGCGACCAGAGCTCTCGGCTGGCCGCCACTGCTGTTCCCGAGCCTGCCCTGCTCTGCCCCAGGTACGTGGGACGGAGTCCCGGCTGGTAAGATGCTGCCCAGCCTCACCCCACGGCACTGTGCGCAGTGCCTTGGCCCCCCGAGCACCCAGCCCAGCCTCGGGAGGAGGGCATGGCCACCGCCACTTTGTGCACGCGCGTGCACAGATGGTCAGGCAGCACAGCACGTGGTTTGGGCAGGTGGTGAAGCCCCCTGCACATATGGCTGTCACCCTGCTGCCAGCATGGCACCAGTTTTGCTTGTGGGCATAGTTCAGACGGCCTTCAGGTGTGTGTGTTTGCACAGGTGCGTGCTCGTTTAAGCGCCAGACCCATGCACACGAGGTGCTAGGCACTGTCAGGCCGTCATAGCTGAGGCCTCCCCCCCAGTGTCTATATGGGAAAGAACCTGGGACATATAGATATGTTTATCTTTTGTATCTATCTATCTATCTATATATACACAGAGATATGTGTACATATATACACACACACATGCATATGCCAGCAGGCACCAAATCGAGTGCAACGCCTCCTCTCTAATAATGGCGGCAAAGCCGCTTTCTGTGCTGCTTTGTGTTGCACAGCGGAGCTTCCAACAAATCCCAAAGCAAAGGCAGGAGCCATGGCCCACTGCCTTGTAGTTGGCCTTGTGGTTACTCGAGATCGATATGCACCCAGCAAAGAGGTTTGCAGACTCCGTAGGGATTCAAAACGTCGCTGCTGCAGGGAAAGGCATTTCCCTTGTGTCGTCCTCTGAGGGAATGCAGTTAATCGATCTGCTCCTCCCCTGGGCTTCCTGCTCCTCCAGGTGAAACTGCTGCCTGCCTACACCAGCACTGCGGGCAGCTGATGGTGCTGCTCCAGCAGCACACACCCCAACGCTGCTGTCCTCTGCGAGGCACTAAGCAAGCCTCCCCTTTTTTGAGGGCTGGTACAGGCCACCTGCACAGGGCAGGGATGTGGATGTGTGTGTTTGCTTGGAGGTGGCAGCCCCACAGCCTGCAATCCGTTGTCCTGGTGAGCAGTGGTGTTTCACACCTCCCTAGTGTGTTACTTCGAAGTTCAGTCCTAGACTGTGATGTTCAATCCCTTTTGCAGGTACCTGACTGTTGCCTTGATCAGCTCCCTAACAACTTCCAAGTGACAAGCATCCTGAGCACCCAGGCCTCGCGCTGCTGGGCTGGGATGAGACTGCTTCGCTCCCTTGAGAACTCTGTGCTCTGCTGAGGGATGCCAGAGCGGACATCAAAAGCTGGGTGATCTGCTCACACCTGGCAAATATGGTAAACAGGATGGCAGTAGTCATCAGAGCAAGGTTGGCTCTGGGAGTGTGGGTGACTGTACCGTGGTTGGACGGTTTCCTGGAGGTGCTCGTGGGTGTTCTGAGTTCTCTGTCCTTAAACTGCACATACTGAAGCAGAGCAGCCCGGGTCATGGCCCTGTGGGGTTTGGTGCCTGCAGAGAATTGTTCTGAGCTGTGCCCACGGCCCCTCTTGTGTGCCTCTGTACCTGCGGCTTCTGAAGGCATGCTCCTGTTCCCTCCCTTTCTTACTTTCCTCTCTCCCTCCTTTCTTTCCCTCTTCCCTTACATTCCTTTCCTTCCTTTCTTTCTTCCTTCCTTCCTCCCTCCCTTTTCTCTCCTAGGGGTGTGCTGCTCCCCTACAGCATCTTCCCTTACTACAACCCCACCCCAACAGACACAGACAACTCCTGTTGTTTACTCCCTTTATTTTCACCCCACAGGGTACAGCTACATCCTCTGCACAGGCTTAATTCCCAGGATGTCGAATCCTTTGGCCATGACAGTGGCAGTGGCTTCGCACAGCAGCAGCCTCCACATGTTCACCTTCATGATCTGGCCTGCAAAACACCAATACAGGAGCTGGAGCAGCTGCTCAGAACAACTAATGCTGCCTTTTCCAGGGGAATCCCATATGCCCACAGCCTGGCCCTGGGTCTGGGCACACTGAGCCCCCTCCCGTCCCCCCAAGCCAGGCAGACTGACCAGCCCTTCTTTCCAGGTGCCCGGTTGCTCACTACTCTTTACTCAACCCTCCTGCTTCACAGGCAGACGATGGCACAGGCTGTGCCAGCCACTTTCAGTCCTCCCACATGGGCAACACTTGTTCTGCAGCAGCAAGTAGTGTGACAGCAGCCTTCCCAGCACAGCGAAACACCCTGCAGATTGCCTGTACCATGGTATGTGACAAGGCATGTGCAGCACCCCTAGGCCAACACTCACCACTCTGCCTGTCCTTTTCAACGCAGTAGCAGTTGTCGTAGAACTCGGTGAAAGTGGTGGCCAGCTCATAAAGGTAGTCACACAGCGTGTGCAACAACAAGTCCTCCAGGATCTTCTGAAGGATCTCAGGGAACCTCAGGATGCACTTGCCCAGCTTCCACTCCTTCTCATGGTCAAGGATGAGCACCTCCTCCCTGGCTGCCTTCCGCAGCATCTGCTCATCAATATTGGCCAGGCGAGCAATCGCCCTGAAACGATCCACAACACAGTCTGCTTGTGAGGGTCCCACTGCTCGACCTGCCCCAGGGCTGGCCTGCAGTTGGTCACCTGTGTGGCCTGTGGCAGGGCTAGCACAGGCCACCCACTGATCTCACTTGCCCAGTCCTGGGTTACCAGGCCAGAAGAGAGCCATTGGCCCTGGGAGGGCTTGGGGAGGCACTGGCCTCGGAGCGATCCCACGGGGCACTGCGGGGGAATAGGGAGGGATGTGCTGTGGGTGCATGTGTCAGCAAGGACAGCCGATGCTGCCAAGCAAACCAGGGCTCAGGGTACTAGAAAAACTGAGTGGGGTACGGTGACACCTGAGGTGAGCAGCTGCTGGCTTCTCCAACCACGTAAATCCTCTAATGGAATTATCAGAAACTCCCACAGGTCCCTCCCTGCTAGCTAAAAGCCTGGGACGCATGCTGCACAGAGAAGCCCTGTTTCAGATAGCACAGGGCATCATTTCCAATGGCAAATAAAATCTTGCCTATGGCACTCACCAGTGTAGCTGGCTTCTCTTACCAACTGCCCCTAACAGCACTGATGCATCTAAGTCACCCCTTTCCCCACATCCCCCTTTGCGATGAAGACACAGAGAGAATCAGAAACCAGTTCCAAGCGGCTCCCAGCACAATCAACCCACCTGATCCGTGTGAAGGCATACAGCAAATATGCAGCTGTGTTTCCTCGGTCATCCAGCATCTTGTCAAAGGAGAACACATAATCGTTTAGTCTGTTGTGGGAGAGATCTGCATATTTAATACATCCAAAAGCGACTGACGTCTGGGCAGCTTTTAGCTCTTCTGCTGTGAGGACCTGTTGCAATTTCAAAACAAGTAACAGTCAAGAGAAAGAACGCTATGCTGGCATCACAAACCGCAGCCCGCAGCCTTGGCCACTCGGCATGGCTCAAGAGGAAAGCCCACAGCAATGAGGGGAATTTTACCCACGTGGTACTTGGTGAAAGGCTCACACCCACCTTTCCACCTCTGGGCACCAGATGACCCCACACCCACCCCTCCCTTCTCTTGCAATCATATGGCACTGCAGCCCTGCCCAGGTTGAGGCTGACTCCCTCTACTTCCAAGGGCCCACAGGAGCTCTGTGCCCCACAGTGTACCATCTGCCACTCAGGTAGTGACGCTCATACTGTGCTCCTGCTTCTTACAAACTGTGTCTACACACAACAAACACGTGGCCCTCCTACCCTTACAGAGCATTTTGGACAGTCCAAACACTCATAAAACCCGTCTCTGGTGGAACAGTGCCCTGTCAGCATGGCAAAGCACTGAGCTGTTTTTTTATGTGCTTCCTCATGTTCCTGTTTAAAAAGGGACCTTTCGCTTTCACCCTATGCAGCACAGCATAGGAAGCTGCGCTTCCTGATTCCACTGCCTAGCTTGGACAAGAGTACTTTGGTCCTTCTGTGCCACAACGTCCAGGTCTCTCCAGGCCATCAGGATGCAAGACAGACAGAAATCTCATTAAACAAAGGGCTTCCAGCAAACTCAGCCACAGCCTTCAAGAGAAAGGGTGAAACCAAAGTCCCCTGTGAATCCCAGCATCCATTACCAGAAGTCACCACCAGCCCAGCTGCAATTTTATATTCTGCCACCACCTCCTGCATCTTGGAGGAGTCACAAC